ATTAGTGTTGCTTTTATGACTGCAGCCTATGAATAAGTGAGTGATTTTAATTTTCAATTTCAATTCACTATTTAAAAAGATATTCATAAGATTATGGCTGCCAAATATTTTGATCCTCTGATTGATCTGGGCCAAGTAAATTGAAAACCTCCTGGCAAAAATTCACCATTCTGGATGTCATTGAGAACATTCATGATTGGAAAGAGGTCAAAACAGGAATTTGGAAGGTGTCTCAACCCTCATGGATGACTCTGAGGGTTTCAAGACTCAATGGAAGAAGTAGTTGCAGAGGTGGTGGGGCCAGGAAGAGAACCAGCATTAGAGGTGGAGCTGGGCTGAGCACTACAATCTGTGGTCAGTCTTGGACAGAGGAGAAGGTGCTTCTGATGGATGAGCAAATCAAGCAGTGTCGTGAGATGGGAACTACCACTCCTCATGCTGGCTGATGCTGGGAACATTGCTGAATTGACAACAAAGATTTAAAATATTCCATAAACTAACTTGACTAAAGCCACAGCAGGATTTGAGAGGATCACTGTAACTTTGTAAAAACGATCTGAGCTCACTGTGGAGGGCCTTTGAACTCAACAAGCAACTCTAGGAACTGAAAGATGATTAAAAATCACAAAAGAATCATAGTTTAAACTTCTTTTACTGTCCAGTCTCAGTGCGCTGTGAAGAGGGTGGAGGTAGCTTCCTCATTTAAGGTCATTTCACAAACAGAAGAGCTGTGAATCCACCAAGTCAACTAGCACTGCAGGACAGCAGCTGAACAGCAGCTTCTTTGCAATCGGGCACAGTGAGATTGGAGAGAAAAGACTCTGGGCACCTCTGGCTTATGGGCTTTGCCCAGAAAAACTCCTTTGGGGACACAGGGAGGCAGCAGGAGACTTCTAGACCCCAGGAGGAGGACAAAAGCAGTGGATAAGGGGCAAGTGTTTGCATTTGGTCTGAGGCCCTGCACCTGCCATGGCTGTAGTTACAGCAACAGTGAGATTACAGACAGGGAAGGCCTTGCCTGTGTTCCCTGTGGGTTGTTTTCTTTTTCTGGACTTAGACACTTGGTTAAGCTACCTTGGGAGAGCTTGGGTGAATGTACAAGTAACTTTTAGTGGTTTCCAGAGTCCGGGACTGAGCCCTGGGCCAGAACAGAACTATCATTGTTTGGCTATGGGCCTCACACAGCCATTGTAGGAGAGCTACCCTCAGGTTCCTCCCACCCTCAGGGTCCCAGAGTGAGAACTGAGCTGAGAGACCGTGGGCAAGGGATCTAGTGACTTTGAACAGCACCCAAAGGCCAGGACAGAGATATCAGGGAAGATAGGGATTTCATTGTTTGGCAATAGGAGAGCTACCTTGCAGCCTGGGCCCTCAGGGGAGAGCAAGTTGGGTTTGGTGGGCCCGATAAGCCACTTTAGGAAAGATCCCAGCAACACATGCTTTCCTGAGAAAGCTTCTGCTTAGCCAAAGGTCCCGGTTTAAATTGTCCTTTAAGTGGGCTGAGGAGAGAATCAGGCTCTCAACTCGCATAGTTAGAGGGCAAGGTAGCCAGTAGAGGCCTCTAGTCTCCATCTTACACAGCTGTGTCAACATTGTGATTAGCATCTTAAACCCCAGAAGATCACCTATTGCCCAGGCAATATTCAATATTTAGGAAGATATATATATCTTTGTTTGTTTGCTTGTTTGTTTTGAGAGAGTGTCTCACTTTATCGTCCTTGGTAGAGTGCTGTGGCATCACAGCTCACAGCAACCTCAAACTCCTGGCTTAGGCGATTCTCCTGCCTCAGCCTCCTGAGTAACTGGGATACAGGCACCCACTGCAATGCCCGGCTACTTGTTTTTGTTGTTGCAGTTTGGCCGGAGCTGGGTTTGAACCTGCCACCCTTGGTATACGGGGCCGGTGCCCTACCCACTAAGCCACAGGCGCTACCTAATTTTTTCCTTTTTTTAAAATTTCAACTTCCCCCCCTAGATTTTTCTTTTTCCCTTCCTTTTTCTAGTGTACATATAATTTTTATTGCTGCCTTCTTTAATAATAAAAGCTTCACTTTTCCTAGGTTTTCTGCCCCTGTTATTTGTTTTTTCCCCCCAATTTTATCCCGTAAGTTTTTTTGTTATATTGTGGCAAAATGCACTCATACAGCATTAAATGATGCAGGAGATCTTTCATTAAAGGAAAAGTCAATCAGCGTGGCAAGCATCACTGTTTCCTTATTTTGACAAGTTGCCACAGCCATCCCAACTTTCAGCAACTACTACCTGATCAGTTAACCGTCAACATTTAGGCAAGACCAGCAAAAAGAGGAGAACTTGCTGGAGGCTCAGATGATCATTAGCAATTTTAGCAATTAAGTATTTTTATTCTATTTGTTTATTTGTTTATTTATTAATTATTTTAGACAGAATCTCACTCTGTTGTCCTGGGTAGAGTACTGTGGCAACACAGCTCACAGCAACCTCAAACTCTTGGGCTTGAGCAGTCCTCCTGCCTCAGCCTCCCGAGTAGCTGAGACTACAGGTGTCCAACACAACTCCTGGCTAGTTTTTCCATTATTTTATTTATTTATTTATTTATTTTAGTAGAGACAGAGGTTTTGCTCTTGCTCAGGTTGGTCTCTAATGTCAGTGCTGTGACCAAGGAAGCAGGCCAGACAGTGGATTGTAAGCTTAAAGCTTGCAGAAGGTGGAACTTCCCACAGATTTCAGGGAAAAGGCCTCAAGCAACCTCCACAGGTGCTATTTATTGAGAACATGCGCCCCCTCCCCCAGCCCCACCCCCCTAGAACTAGAGTTCCACAGCTGATCAATTTCCAACTGCCAAAGTCTGTCCTTAGTAATTGCCACTTTGTCTCTGCAAGCCGGCTGTGCAGGTTCCTACACATCTTTCTACATAGGTTGCTACATAAGTTGTTACATAGGTTGTTACATCTCTTATTACATAGGTCGCAACACCTCCTGTTACATAGGTTGCTACATATCCTGTTACATAGGTCACTATATATCCTGTTGCTACATATAGGTTGCTACACTCTAACTCCTGAGTTCAAGGGTTCCACTGACCTCAGCCTCCCAGAGTGCCAGGATTACAGGCATGAGTCACCATAATGCCTGAGCTATATCCTCCCAAAGGAGTAAGGTTTTCCTTCACCCTCTACTATATATAAAAAATGTGTTCAGCAATATAACCAATTGAAAAAAAAAAACTCTGTTTTAAGATGTTGTCACTAAATCACAAATAATTAGTGGGTAGCTTAGAAATTGAAAATGAAATATATGAACTTTCTCCCCCTTCCAATGCAATCATTAATATTATGTGACCACTTATTTAATCAGGCTTTTTAAAATGATAGATCAATAGTTATTTATATGGTATTAGCAAACTAAAAAATTGTATTAAAGGCACTGATTTAATCACATTTTAATAGGAAGAAAATTATAATGAAAAAGCATTCTGACAGAAGTGTTCTCATAATAACAATTAGGATTTCTTGGCAAATCCACTTGAAAGTACAGCTTAATTTTTTTTGATATTGCGTAAGCTATAATTGTTTCAGTTCAAGAACAATGAGCCCAAAACAAATGCCAGGTGCCTGGGTAGGGATGAGGGCATGGTGGCCCCTTCAGCAAGAATTTCCTTGAACTGGAAACTAAAACTGGTATAAAAAGGGAGAGAGAGACAAACAGAGAGAGAGAGAGGTGGGTCCAGTGAGGCCCGTAAGACAGTCAGAAAAGCTCTTTCTGGAATTTGAAGTAAAGAAAGATTACATATATTTGAGAAACAGAAAAACACATCAGGTAGGTCACATTTGAAATGGCCCTTCATATATTAGGAGAGATTTTAGAGATGCAGATTAAGGTGATAGCTATGGAAATATTTTATACTAGAAATATTTTCTCCAACGGATATATGGATTGGTCGGTAAACTTCACATGTTCTTTTAGAAAGAGAATTCCTTCTCCAGTGAATCCTCTGTAGAACCCCGTGTGAAAACCTGTTGAAGAGCATTAGTTCCAGTTGAGAAGGGTGGAAAGGTGGAGCCTGGATGCTCCATCTTCGTCCCTTTAACTGTTGGCTGCCACTAATTCTTTTCATCACTGTCTCTCTGGGTATGTGCTGTAGTTTGAAATGCCGTATTTTGTATTATAATCTCTGGAAAGCATAGCAATCATTTTAATAATAGAAATAACAGAAAGTACAGCTGAAGAGAAGCGTCTTGGCTCACAGGAATAGATGAACCTGAAGTTTAGTATTTTTTAAGGAGAAGGAAAGATGTGAGTGCACCAGAGGGCTCCTGTTAGAACCTGCAGGAAGGCAGGAAATTTTTACATTAACAAAAGGAAATTTCTATAAATGAATAATATTGATGTAGATTATAAGGTAACTGAACAGGGTAGTGGTAAATGTGACGGCAATGGTAATTGGGGACCATATTCTGAAGTCCTAGAATGCCAGGCTGACACACTCAGTCGTCAGGTTGGATCCTGCACAACCCAAGGGGCTGGGACTCACAACTGCTGTGCACAATCTGAGCAGCTGTGCATGATGGCTGTGCAAGTGATGGACATTCCACCTGCTCTAGATAACTGTGGGGAATCTGCAAATGTCTTCCAGGTCTGAGAATAACACGAGTGCTTTTGAACCTTAAGCGAATTAATCTTGCAGTGTTTAATAAAATGTCTCAAATTCCAGAAATAAGAATATAGAATATTCCAAATGTGATGGTCTGTTAGAAGGATGAACTGAGTTCGTAACTTATTTAGTAGGCAGAAGGCAACGCAAAAATGACTCACACATTTTCCCAAGTGGCCAAAGGAATTGTTGCACCTTGATAGAAAAAGAAAGGTCATGTTTGTGGTAATTCAGACACAGTAAGAAATGGAATTAGTTCTCTTTTGAACATTTTAAAATATTATGAATAATTCTGTCATACTAAATGGCAATTGGCTATAATTCCTCCTCCAAGGCTTTCTTTTTCTTTTTTTTTCTCCCCGTTCAGGCTGAAGTCATCGATGTGAGTTATGGAACTGCAGATGATTTAAAAAGGATTAAAGGAATGAAAAATGTAACAAATCAGATTGCACTCCTGAAATTAGGAAAATTGCCACTGCTTTATAAGGTTGGTCCAATAGCTGTTATTTGGTGGTTGGTGAATGTTTTATTTTGTTTCTTTGGAATCATATGCCTTTATGAGTGTGTGTGTGTGTGTGTGTGTGAGAGAGAGAGAGAGAGAGAGAGAGAGATCAGGGGTAAGGCACGAAGAGATGAAAAAGAAATTGATGTCCTTATTCTTTTAGATAGAAAATATATTAAGCCAGGTGTTGGTGAGTTCATGGGAGCTTGATAAAATCGGCATACTCTCATAGCACATATCTGAAGTGCTAAAACTGAAAGCCAGTGTCCCTAGCTTATGACATACACAAAACCTCTAATCTGAGTATTAGCAAACATTGCCACGTGCTTCGTGTCAGACTAGCATCTGTCTGATTTATACCCTTAGTGATCGACTTTGTCAGCTGTATAACTTCAGAGTTATTGACTGTGCTCAGGAATTTAATTAAAATATAACATGCTAAGGAGAAGCAGAATTATTTATTTATTTTAATTAAATTGAAGTTTATTAACTCTCACCCACTAGATGTGTTTACATAATGAAGCAGCTCAGTGTACGTTCTGACAGTGATGGCCATAGGTGGCCACTATGGTCGTTCTGCCTTCATTTCCTTTTTCTATTTAAGAAAGAAATGCTTAATGTAGTTATGTCACCACAACCCCTGACTATGAAAATACATTTCTCCTTATCCAACTTTAAATGAGCTTTACTAATTCTCTGGTCCAAAAACAGTTTCTAGAAATCTGTCAGCATACTCTATCAGGAAATAAGAAAACATCCTATGTCTATTTTTTTATTATCTTTCAATGATACCTTTATGCTTAAATCAGTGTCCTACAGGAGAGAATTGGCCAGAATTTTAACATAGTTTTGGAAATATAGAGTGATATCCATTTTTGTTAGGTAATTTTTTCATATGTATTAAATACCTTTAAATGATCACATTTTGACCCAGTAATCCTGTTCAATCAGTGTATTCTCAGGAGGTTTGGAGGAAGAGATGGTAAACGCAGTTATAACCAGTGATGTGAGTAAATATTAGAAATGATGTCTATGTCCAGTGTAGAAGGGAAAATAATGCTGCCTCGATACAGCTGGATAGGATTCGAGGTCTGACAGGTGAGTCTGTGAACTGCCCACCGAGTGCTTGCGTTGGCAGCTCTCTGCAGACAGCAAAGTGACGTTTCCTGACCCCGGCATATCGGTGTCTCACTCATGTGTTGACACACTTGTGAGTCAGCCTTCTTACTGAGTGGTGTTCATTTCTGTTGCCTGTTTTGTGGGCTGTTGCAAGAATGTCGGAGCTTGAATTGGAGCAATGAGCATACATTTGCAAATTTCTTGGTAAATGTGACAAGACAGGAAGTGAAATCAGGGTCATGTTAGTCCATGTTTAATGCCATGAAGAAGACAGCAGCGTACGAGTGGGTTAAACAGGGAGGCCAGTAATCAGCAGCACTGCCGAAAATGTCACAAAAATTCATGGAATTAGGCATCAAAATGTGTGCCACTGAGAGTGAGAAGCCCAGGTGAGCTGAGGGTGAGAAGCCCAGCAGACAAACATCGATAAAGAAACATGAAAATATTAACTGAAAATCCTGGCATGAGAACGGTGTGTGCAAAACCGTCCTGGAGGAGCTCGCTGATGAACACAAGACCCTTAGGAGAGGCAAGACAAGGTTTTGGGTCATGTTATCCCTGGTGATGACACACAGGTGCAGCAACACGACCCTGAAACCAGGCGTCTGCCTGCACAGTGGGAGTCAGTCCAAACCCCAGTGAAAATGAATGGTGTTGCTAACCTTTGTGATATCAGAAGGACTGTTCATTATGAATTGTACCAAACGGATAAACAGTTACCCAAGTGTGCTATTGGGAGGTGCTGAAATGGCTACATAAGAAAGTTAAGTGAAAACCACCTGAACATTCTGTCAACACTCACGGCCTTTGCATCACGATGAGGCTCACACGGCACTATTAGGGGTTTTTAGCCAGTAAACAGAACAGTGTATTAGAATACCCTCCATACTCACCTGATCTGGCCCCCAGTGACTTTTTCTTTACCCAACAAAGAAAAAGGAAATACTGAAAGGAAGACGTTTTGATGACCTCAGCGTGTCAGGGTAATATGATGCACCTCTGATGGTTATTCCAGGTAAGGAGTTCAGAAACTGCTTTGAAGGTGGGCAAGGTGCTCACGTTGGTGGCAGCTTCCCAAGGGGAGGACTTTGAAGGGGACCGTAATGATATCAGCAATGAGGGATGTGGCACTTTTACTAGACTGAGTTTGTGAACTTAATTGTCAGACCTTTGTATAATAATTCAAATATAAAGGAGAATATTTAATGCAATAAGTAAAACAAATAAGTTATAAATGGAACATTTATAAAATAATAGTACTGATGGTTATAGTACTGTCCCTAAAGTTAGTATGGTTAATAATACAGGCTAGACATTTTTCTCAGTATTTTTAATACATTATCACATTAATCTTTACAATAACTATGTTATTGAGTTAGGGAACATTATTATATTTATTTTACAAATTGAGACAACTAAGGCACAAAAATGATCAGTGACTGACTCAGAGATAAAGGGCTAGTCAAATGAAACTGTCAGGGTACCCCAGGCAGCCTGGTCTCAGGTCTTGAGTCTTCAGTATGTAAGGGTGTGTGTGCACATGCATGTAGCCAGCATAGATCAGTAAACAGATGATTAAGATTTTAAATTGGAATTTTGTTTTTCTTTTAGAGAGTCTCACTTTGTCACCCTGGATAGTGTGCTGTGGCGTCACAGCTCACAGCAACCTCCAACTCCTGGGCTAAGGTGATTCTCTCGCCTCAGCTGCCCAACTAGCTGGGACTACAGGCACCCACCACAATGCCCGGCTATTTTTTTGTTGCAGTTTGGCCAGGGGCCAGGTTTGAAACCACCACTCTCAATATATGGGGCTTGCACCCTACTCATTGAGCCACAAGTGCTGCCTTTAAATTGGAATTTTTGACTGAGATTCTAAGGTAAAAGAATCATCATTTCAAAGTGAGCTACCAAACACCAGCGTTGCCAGCTAACTGCAGTAGAACCTCTGCAAGTTGACAACCCAAGGGACTGTGTCACACTGGTCACCGCACAGAGGGGGTCAA